ATTCAAAACTCGCTTTTGAATGAAGAGAATGAGAATGGTCCAGGACGGACCGAAACGTCGTCGTCCCTTCAACTTCTAGTGTGTGGTCTGGTCAACATACTTCAGCCACGTTATTGTGACTCATCGCCTGCAAAACTCGCTTCTTTAAATGACCCATCCAGCCTGTCCTCGTATACGATGATCCGTCCTCGTAAACAATGACCCGTCCTCGTAAACAATGACCCGTCCTCGTAAACAATGACCACCTGCTCGTTAATCCGGCTGCTAAAGCCCACTATTTATGAATAAACAACACCCTTAAAAACCATTCACAACTAATATTTTTCCGAACAGTGCTTCGCTCACGTCTTCTGCTTGCATTGAACCTCTGTAAATGCTTCACCCCACTTACTGCAAACGTAAATAATTGTAAATCGAACACAAAAAAACACCTAAAATTACTGAGACCAAAACATTCCCCCAAAACTATAATATATAATAATATTTTGTTAAAAAAAAATACACTTCTTATTTCACAAAAATGGACCACTTTGTGAATGCATCATTGAGTACTGCTTCAATTTGAACAGACATAACCCTGAGGATGGATTATGTGACGATAGCAGCAGGGAATTACATGCGCCATCTGTCCACTAAAACACCTGCTAATGAACACCTGCTAATGAACACTTGCTAATGAACACCTGTTAATGAACACCGGTCTCTCTCTCGTATGTATTGGTAGACAATGAAGCTCCCCCACACAGAAGCATTAATATTACCACTAAGCCTTCATAAATACCACACGTAGCTCTGTCATAATATACCTCACAGAGCTCTTGTCACGATATACCTGCACTAACAGGTATATTAATGAGCATATACGTTTGGGCTGCCCCCTCCCCCCCCCCGTCTCTCTCTCTTTAACACTGAACCTTTGACCTAATTATCTATGAATTCTGTGTTGCTTTTTCGATATGTCAATATTTATTATAGATGTGTCCCTTGAACACCAATGCAGAGTGCATGAAACAAAAGTTTATTGAAAAATGTGAAACAGCGAATTAATGAATTTGTATATATATATATATATATATATATATATATATATATATATATATATATATATATATATATATATATATATATATATATATATATTATTAAATATGACCGAAAAAGTAAGATTAATAATTCTAACACGAATTTTCTCAATCTTTCGTACATTACGCTTCACTGTTGGAGGTAAATCAAAAATTAATTCTCCAAAATTCATTTTTATTTCTAGTCTGACGCGACACGGGCGCGTTTCGTAAAACTTATTACATTTTCAAAGACTTTAGTTCACAAATACACAACTGAATAGAACTTACGTATCTCCGATTTTATATCTACATTTGAGTGAGGTGGGAGGGGTGATGTGGCATTAACACAAGACAGAACAAGAGGGGATATTAATAGGGTATTAAAAGTATCAACACAAGACAGAACACAAACAATGGGTATTGAATAGAAGTGTTTGTAGAAAGCCTATTGGTCCATATTTCTTGATGCTTCTATATTGGAGCGGAGTCTTGAGGTGGGTAGAATATAGTTGTGCAATAATTGGCTGTTGATTGCTGGTGTTGACTTCTTGATGTGTAGTGCCTCGCAAACGTCAAGCCGCCTGCTATCGCTGTATCTATCGATGATTTCTGTGTTGTTTACTAGGATTTCTCTGGCGATGGTTTGGTTGTGGGAAGAGATTATATGTTCCTTAATGGAGCCCTGTTGCTTATGCATCGTTAAACGCCTAGAAAGAGATGTTGTTGTCTTGCCTATATACTGGGGTGTATTTATATTCTCCAAAGGTTTCGTCGAAGACATCATAAGAAGGAAAGTGAAAAGCCATGCAACCTCTGAAGAGACAACTAACACAACACCTATACCCCCTATTAGACTATTTTACAGGAACTTCTTTTCCACAGCTCATAAAACGGAGGAAAGGGTCCTGAAAGATATTGTTAATAGAAACGTTATCCCTACAGACAAAAATCAGAGGATACAACTGACGATTTACTATAAAACCAGAAAAACGGCCAGCCTACTCATGAGAAACTCTCCAGGCACAAAACAGAACGCTTTAAAAGAGACTAACGTTGTCTATGCCTTCAAATGCCCACTTGGGGACTGTAAGCTCCAAAAAACCCAGTATATAGGCAAGACAACAACATCTCTTTCTAGGCGTTTAACGATGCATAAGCAACAGGGCTCCATTAAGGAACATATAATCTCTTCCCACAACCAAACCATCGCCAGAGAAATCCTAGTAAACAACACAGAAATCATCGATAGATACAGCGATAGCAGGCGGCTTGACGTTTGCGAGGCACTACACATCAAGAAGTCAACACCAGCAATCAACAGCCAATTATTGCACAACTATATTCTACCCACCTCAAGACTCCGCTCCAATATAGAAGCATCAAGAAATATGGACCAATAGGCTTTCTACAAACACTTCTATTCAATACCCATTGTTTGTGTTCTGTCTTGTGTTGATACTTTTAATACCCTATTAATATCCCCTCTTGTTCTGTCTTGTGTTAATGCCACATCACCCCTCCCACCTCACTCAAATGTAGATATAAAATCGGAGATACGTAAGTTCTATTTAGTTGTGTATTTGTGAACTAAAGTCTTTGAAAATGTAATAAGTTTTACGAAACGCGCCCGTGTCGCGTCAGACTAGAAATAAAAATGAATTTTGGAGAATTAATTTTTGATTTACCTCCAACAGTGAAGCGTAATGTACGAAAGATTGAGAAAATTCGTGTTAGAATTATTAATCTTACTTTTTCGGTCATATTTAATAATATATGTCTACAGGAAAGACTGCTACCAAAATATACTAATATATATATATATATATATATATATATATATATATATATATATATATATATATATATATATATATATATATATATATATATATATATATAATAATAATAAATTTGCCAGGGTGGTGGTTCTTTACTTGAATTCGGTATAAAAATTGTGTTCCCTTTGTGCTGCTCGGACTCTTTCAGTCACGTGTTCCTGTGTATAAATAGCGCAGATCCTATAATATCAGCTTTTCAGTTATCCATAGCTAACGTAAAATGTTTATTGACCAAGAGGACGCGAACTATCAGTAAAAAGCGCCAATCCATTAGAACTAGTATATTTACCCCTTGGAAGAGATCAGGATATAAGGATTTGGGATAGGATAGGGCGGAGGTGGGAAGCGAATGGTGCCCAACCACTTTGGAGGGTCGGGGATCGAACGACGACCTGCATGAGGCTAGACCGTCAAAGTTTCCATTCTCGACTTCAATTAGGGAACGCACTGTTGAACACTCTTGTGCTTGTGAAAAAATAGGGCATTTACAAGACATTTACACGCACTCATATTGATTACAACCCCACACACGCAACGTTATTTAGAACTGTATTATTTTTTAGTATTTAGTACCCAATACTGCACAGAAAGATCAAATGTGGAGAAGAAAACCAAAATATGAACTATATCTTGAGGTTATCTTGAGATGATTTCGGGGCTTTAGTGTCCCCGCGGCCCGGTCCTCGACCAGGCCTCCACCCCCAGGAAGCAGCCCGTGACAGCTGACTAACTCCCAGGTACCTATTTACTGCTAGGTAATAGGGGCATTCAGGGTGAAAGAAACTTTGCCCATTTGTTTCTGCCTCGTGCGGGAATCGAACCCGCGCCACAGAATTACGAGTCCTGCGCGCTATCCACCAGGCTACGAGGCCCTTTTTATCTATATTAATATATTTAAATAATAAAATGATGTACATAGGTCTTAAGTATAGGGCCGGTCTTTGACGTGTGTCCCCCCTTGATCATAGAAAGTGATGAGTGAAACACTTTGTGTTTCAGAGAAAAACTGTGACTGAAAAATAAAATTATGTCATTAAACTCTATTTACTTTGAGAGGTCAGTGAATGCTTACAAGTACAGGTAATGTACTAAACATTGGTTGTTGCTGTGGTCGTCTCATTCATCATTCTTGTCGTGGGGGAATGGGGGGTAGGACGGAAAAGTACTATCAGGAGAAAGCGTCAAGCCACCACGACTATATATAGCACTGGGAAGGGATCAGGAAGAGGATTTGGGATGGGACGGGGCGGGAAGGAATGTTTTCTCCACGGCCATATGTTTTAAATAAATGTAGTACTTTACCAAGTTTGTAGTTATTATTGTATATATTGTTGTATATAGTAGTTTTAGGTTATTCCATTGTTGGAAGCACGTCCTGGGTGTTAGTCAGTTAGTCAGTTAGTTAGGTACCTGGGTGTTAGTCAGCTGTCACGGGCTGCTTCCTGGGGGTGGAGGCCTGGTCGAGGACCGGGCCGCGGGGATACTAAAAAGCCCCGAAGTCAATCAAATCAAATCAATCATCTTAAGATAACGTCACCGCCAGGCGCGGCCATGGTGCTCGTTCAAGCTTCATTGATGCACCTTGATCAGCCCGTCCTCATAAACAAAGGCTAAGGTCCATTCCATGCACCCGCCAAACCCGTTGTTTATGAATGAATAACGGTTTACACATGACTCACAACTGATTTCGTTCGAACACTTCCGGAACAAGTGCTTCACTGGCGAATTTTGTTCGAACCACAACGCTATAAATGCTTCACCCACGTACTACAAATACAAATAATCGCCAACAGAACCTAAAAACCTAACTTAACCTATGCGTATATGCACAATATGCTAATATATTATAATATAAATTTATATTTGAGAATATTCCCGTGTTGAATGAACAGTGTGTAAAAGTTTATGAACGCGTCTTTGGGGTCGACCGCTGGATGTAATAGACTTAATATGAGGACGAGCTGTTCCTGCCATGCTTTACTTTTGTTTCCTTTATATTCATACTTAGGTATATCTGCATTTATTGAGCTACCCTTGGCTATATCATTGGTTTCATTACGTTGTGTCAAGATACTAAAATCACCATTTAGCAGGATGGCTAGTGATACACATGGCATGACCTGATTCCTGCTACTTTATTCACTCTGCCACTTTGGTCGTGCTTTGCCACTTTGGTCGTTCTTTGCCACTTTGGTCTAACACGACGCTTAACACTGCTTCGGATCATTGTTGCCTCCCTGGGTTCTGGGTCTTCGTTGCCACGCTGGGTTCTGGGTCTTCGTTGCCTCGCTGGGTTCTGGGTCTTCGTTGCCTCGCTGGTTTCTGGGTCTTCGTTGCCTCGCTGGGTTCTGGGTCTTCGTTGCCTCGCTGGGTTCTGGGTCTTCGTGGCTTCGCTGGGTTCTGGGTCTTCGTTGCCTCGCTGGTTTCTGGGTCTTCGTTGCCTCGCTGGGTTCTGGATCTTCGATGCCTCGCTGGTTTCTGGGTCCTCGTTGCCTCGCTGGTTTCTGGGTCCTCGTTGCCTCGCTGGGTTCTGGGTCTTCGTTGCCTCGCTGGGTTCTGGGTCTTCGTTGCCACGCTGAGTTCTGGGTCTTCGTTGCCTTGCTGGGTTCTGGGTCTTCGTTGCCTCGCTGGGTTCTGGGTCTTCGTTGTCTCGCTGGGTTCTGGGTCTTCGTTGCCTCGCTGGGTTCTGGGTCTTCGTGGCCTCGCTGGGTTCTAGGTCTTCGTTGCCTCGCTGGGTTCTGGGTCTTCGTTGCCTCGCTGGGTTCTGGGTCTTCGTTGCCTCGCTGGGTTCTGGGTCTTCGTTGTCTCGCTGGGTTCTGGGACTTCGTTGCCTCGCTGGGTTCTGGGACTTAGTTGCCTCGCTGGGTTCTGGGTCTTCGTTGCCTCGCTGGGTTCTGGGTCTTCGTTGCCTCGCTGGGTTCTGGGTCTTCGTTGCCTCGCTGGGTTCTGGATCTTCGTTGCCTCGCTGGTTTCTGGGTCCTCGTTGCCTCGCTGGTTTCTGGGTCCTCGTTGCCTCGCTGGGTTCTGGGTCTTCGTTGCCTCGCTGGGTTCTGGGACTTCGTTGCCTCGCTGGGTTCTGGGACTTCGTTGCCTCGCTGGGTTCTGGGACTTCGTTGCCTCGCTGGGTTCTGGGACTTCGTTGCCTCGCTGGGTTCTGGGTCTTCATTGCCTCGCTGGGTTCTGGGTCTTCGTTGCCTCGCTGGGTTCTGGGTCTTCGTTGCCTCGCTGGGTTCTGGGTCTTCGTTGCCTCGCTGGGTTCTGGGTCTTCGTTGCCTCGCTGGGTTCTGGGTCTTCGTTGCCTCGCTGGGTTCTGGGTCTTCGTTGCCTCGCTGGGTTCTGGGACTTCGTTGCCTCGCTGGGTTCTGGGACTTCGTTGCCTCGCTGGGTTCTGGGACTTAGTTGCCTCGCTGGGTTCTGGGTCTTCGTTGCCTCGCTGGGTTCTGGGACTTCGTTGCCTCGCTGGGTTCTGGGACTTCGTTGCCTCGCTGGGTTCTGGGTCTTCGTTGCCTCGCTGGGTTCTGGGTCTTCGTTGCCTTGCTGGGTTCTGGGTCTTCGTTGCCTCGCTGGGTTCTGGGTCTTCGTTGCCTCGCTGGGTTCTGGGTCTTCTTTGCCTCGCTGGGTTCTGGGTCTTCGTGGCCTCGCTGGGTTCTGGGTCTTCGTTGCCTGTCGCTGATGCAGCCTCGGTTCCAAGCGGCTCTCGGAGTTCTAATGATCCTGGCACAAATCACGGCTGTTTGTTGGGACCGTCCGCCTTCCAACACGGTCCTTTGTAAGCTGGAGTAATGACACAACATTCTTGTAAAGTTATGAGAAGAGCATTCAGAGTTATTGAAACTGTGTGTGTGTGTGTGTGTGTGTGTGTGTGTGTGTGTGTGGGCGCGCGCGTGTGTGCGTGCGTGGGGAAATCTCACGTTTCACCTATTTCAGCCTGTAAGATGGAGCTGTTGCTCTTGTACTCCAAATTTCCTACTCGCTTAGTTAATTTCTTTTTTTTTTACTCTTACTCTCATTCGATCTTTCTTGAATCCCAATTCCACAGAAAACCTCTTGAGACATTCCTCGTTGCAAGCTACCGAGTCATTGCACATTCAGCAAATTTTGAGTGTGGGTGGATATAAATAGGAACTGCCTCGTATGTTCCAATAGGCCTTCTGCAGTTACCTTCATTCTCATGTTCATATATTCCCTTATGCGGGTTTTGAAGCGGAGGCTCCATAATAGTTTTATATCTGGACGTTTATCTGTCTGGCATAAACAGTACTGCGAAACATTCTGTTAATATGTACCTGAACATTCAATATTGATTAGGTCTAGTCCCAGGTCTTTTTCGTTCCCTGATGTTGAAATCTGTCTGCCCCTAAATTTTGTGGTTGGTTTAAGGGTCTTTTCATTTCTGTTAGATATTTGTGATTTGATAAGGATTCTAAGTTACAACTCGTAAGCCATTTTTTCATACCACCTCTAATATTGTGCGTTTTGTTGTATATCATTCCCAAATTTTTGTTTGTTTTCTCAATTTGCAGCATCAGCAAAAATTAATATGAATTTGGCAATATCCTCCGACAGTTCGTTTAGGTAGAGAACACGATGGGTCTTATCTAATTACTTCCCTGAAATCTCATCTCACTCATCTCCAACGATTTGTTTACCGTCTGGCTGAGTTTCTTCATCAAACTTAGTACTTTTTCAGATACAGCACACTGTTTATCTTGGAGCCTTTTGTACTGGATTGTTTCGAATGGCTGTCAACAATATATTATCTGTCCCTCCTATTTAAATATGCTACAGGAAGGTCTATTTCAAGGCTCACAGACTGGAGAAAAGAGTCTAGAATGACGTTGTCGATTGAAAGGTAGCAATCAAGATATCGTAATACTGCTAGAGCAAGAAAACCGCCAACAGGCAGAAAGCCTTGAAGGAGACGAATGTCGTCTTATGTTGTTACATGTTCCCCTGGGGACTGCCAACCACCAGCGATCTCAGTATATAGGCAAGTATATAGTCATCCCTTTCAAGGCACCAGACAATGCACAAACAGCAAGATTTCATCAAAGAACATATTATCTATACACACACTCATATCACCACCAGATATCTCCCGACAAACATTGAAATAATTGACAGATACAGCAACAATAGAGGATTATTCATTCATGAAGCACTACATATCAAACAAACCCAACCGACTATCAGCTTTAATGCCATATATATCTTTGTTATATAGATATATGCAGAGGGAATCTAGCGTGACAGAGAAGATCGGTGGTGAAGGGAAGTCTGTAGCAAGACAATGCTTGGCTTGCACATCCTGCAAGTTGTGTAATCACACATTTTCCAGGAGGTCACGACCTACAGTCAACATATAATGACAAAGTCAGATACCATGAACCTGCTAATCGTGGTTCATAGGTTTTGGCAAACATTTTGACCTTTCCCCCAAGTAACATCAGCCAGCTTGTCTTTGCTTGACGGTAAAGGAGCCCCAGGCTATATCAATGAGAGGGGTTTAGCTCCCCCTAACTGAATGGAACGAGTTAAATACTCGTCACATTCAGGGGGGTGAGAGATGTACAAGAATATTCACATTCAGAGAGTCAGTCAGGAGATTCAGGAGAGTCAGAAGGTGGCTTCCCTCGGAGATCTACTCAGTAGCCTCCACAAGTCTTAGAATCCTGTTGGAGATGCCAGACCTTCTGATCAGCCTAGCTAGGACTCATTGGTATGGGTGTATGCGAGAAATATACAAATGTCAGGTATATACAAATGTCAGTCGTAAATGTCCTTTATTATTATTAACATCTTTATTGACAACATTTAATTTACAATTATGCCTAATCTGAGGAATTCAATTAAGTCTTATTGGAATGAGGATAATGCTAGTATTCACTCTCACACAAGACAGAGGATCATACACAAGACAATACGTCTGAACTGTGTGGGCTGAAGCCCACACACATTGTTACAATGTTTCAATGTACGAATATGTAAATACAACTTTCTACTGTGCACAGCTACACAAGGGCAGGGATGGGTTCGTAAGAGATGCAGCTTAAAAATAATATAATTAAAATTGTTCTTCATTCTTTAAAATGGACCAGCAAATTTTGGATAAGTTGTTGGGATGTTGTCCAGTACACCAGATTCAATGAAATAGTTACACAGTTGGTGGTACTAGTCAGGGATATTTGTTCATTTGATCAGCATCTCTGATTTCTCAGCTTATGCTGCTATCTTTGTCTTATGTTTATTAATGTAAGGTGAATATATATATATGTATATAATATAAAACAAAACATAAAAGCACTACACTTCTCACATTTCACTGCACATTTTAACACAAACATTCAACAAATGGTCGATGATTTATCTCTCTGGAGGAAGGATGAACTGCTCTCCTTAGCTTAATAGAGTAATTTCAAGAGTGAATCGTCAGAGCCATTTGTTGGAGGCGGAGGAGGAGATGCATCTAGGTCAGGTTCGCTATCTCCAGACACAGTGGGGGGGGGGGGGGAGGGGAAGAAGTCTCGAACCTTACGAAATCAGCTCCAGTGAAATGTTCTCTCTGAAACTTTCAAGGGGAAAATGGGAGTTGGTTATATGCGAAGGAAGGAAGGAATTATCAGGGGGGGGGGGGAACGCTAAGCCATTACGGTTATATAGCACTGGGAAGGGGTCTGGATAAGGATTTGGGATGGGACGGGGGAGGAGGGGGGGGGAAGGAATGGAGCCCAACCACTTGGACGGTCGGGGATTGAACGCCGACCTGCATGTTGCGAGACCGTCGTTCTATCGTCCAGCCCAAGTGGTTGGGCAGAGTGTTTATATTTCTTTCGTCCAGCATGCGTTATCTATGGCTTCTCTTTCTCTTTTCTCCATTTCTTATTTCCATTTGTCTCCATCTACTATTCTTACCTGTTTTTCGCACCTGTTTTTTAAGTACCCTTTATTTCCATTAACCACTTCGTCTGTCGCCATGTCAACTCGTACACACACTCAGTCCTTCAACATCCACCCCTGCTTCATCCTCTTCCCTTCCTTTCATTGAATCCACCTGTCAGTAATCCATCTATTCATCTGACTATTCAACCATGCATCCATTTCCACCAGCTGATCCACTTGCCTGTACCAAAGAGCTGTAGCAATCAAACCCGTGATTGCAGCTCCCTACTTCTGACCAATCTCTACTCCAATGGCGCCATTCGTCTCCCAACAAAACACAATCTATATCCAAAGTACAGCCGATGAACACAACTTGCAGTCCCCGAGAATTTCCAAAATGATAGCAGTAACAAAAGAATGAAGGAGAGAAAGAGAGAAAGAGAGAGAAAGGGAGAGTGAAAGGGGAGTATAAACAGGAGACGGATAGTTATTGGCAGCCATATTGTTATATGAAACCAAAGCTTTCAACTTTTCCCCTACTTGGCTCAACTTCGTAGAGAAATCGAGATTTGGTAACCACAACACAAGCCTCTCAGCCACCATCATCAGCTGGCTGAATCATTCTCTCCTGAATATCAATCCATCAACGACCATCTATTTCTAGGCTCTCTTGCATATGGATCATGTTCTCTCAACACGCACTCTAAATCAAGGTACTTGACCATATGAATGCTCAGATAAACAGATGGATCAAACTTCATCCTATAACGTGATTGTAACAACAATTAAATAAAACAAATCTGAAACGATAAACTGGTAATAGGGTCTTAAAGAAATCATTTTCTAGAATAAAGCTTCAGGTAAGCTGATAGCACCTCTAAGCTTGCAGTTTTCGTAGTAATAGCATCACTCTTAATGTTTCCCTAATACTAGTTAAAAGAGAGAGACAGAGAACTCTCACAGCGCCAGTTCTGCTTACCAAAAATGGCCCACTAGATACTCAGATTAGTCGCTGAAGCTTCAGCGTTCAAGCAAGCTCGGCATCTCACCCATACAGAGATTTAGAAACCGCCGGAGTCAGAGAGATACAGATCGGATTGATGTTGGATAGAAATACAAATCCCTGTGACAATAAATGCTATGATTTACTAAACTGTTTGAACACACCGTAGAGTGTGTTGCGTGACAAACGATGACACGAAATTAATCTCGCGTAAATCATAGCATTATTCGTCCGCAATCAATCTGAAAATAACGTTAGCAACATATATATTTTGTGTGTACTCACCTAATTGTACTCACCTAATTGTGCTTGCGGGGGTTGAGCTTTGGCTCTTTGGGCCCGCCTCTCAACTGTCAATCAACAGGTGTACAGATTCCTGAGCCTACTGGGCTCTATCATATCTACATTTAAAACTTTGTATGGAGTCAGCCTCCACCACATCTCTGCCTAATGCATTCCACCTGTTAACTACTCTGACACTGAAAAAGTTCTTTCTAACGTCCCTGAGCCCCATTTGGGTACTCAGTTTCCACCTGGGCCCCCTTGTTCGCGTACCATCAGTGTTGAGTAGTTTATCCTTGTCTACCCGGTCGATTCCCCTGAAGATTTTGTAGGTAGTGATCATGTCTTCCCTTACTCTTCTGTCTTCCAGTGTCCTAAGGTGCATTTCCCGCAGCAGTTCCTTGTAACTCATGCCTCTTAGTTCTGGGACTAGTCTAGTGGCATACCTTTGAACTATTTCCAGCTTCGTCTTGTGCTTGACAACGTACGGCCCCATGCTGGGGCCGCATACTCCAGGATTGGTCTTATATATGTGGTATACATGATTCTGAATGATTCCTTAAACAGGTTCCTGAACGCTGTTCTCATGTTAGCCAGCCTCACATATACCGCAGACGTAATTCTTTTTATGTGGGCTTCAGGAGACAGGTTTGGTGTGATATCAACTCCTAGATCTTTCTCTCTGTCCGTTTCATTGAGTACTTCATCTCCTATTCTGTATCCTGTGTCTGGCCTCCTGTTTCCACTGCCTAGTTTCATTACTTTGCACTTACTCGGGTTGAACTTTAACAGCCATTTGTTGGACCATTCATTCAGCCTGTCTAGGTTATCTTGTAGCCTCCTACTATCATCCTCTGTTTCAATCCTCCTCATAATTTTTGCATCATCAGCA